TGTGTGTGTGTGTGTGTGTGTGTGTGTGTGTGTGTGTGTGTGTGTGTGTGTGTGTGTGTGTGTGTGTGTGTGCAGTGTTTTCTCCTGTTTGCCAAATCTCCAGGTCTTGGACGGCATCTTCAAGATGCCAGAGGACTCGCTGCCCCCCAAAGGGCCAGAAAACACCAGGATGTGCACCATTTTGTGACCCTCCTCCATAGATTGGAAGTGTATAGATGGAAATTATCAGTGTCAGTGGAAAACAAGCAGGGTAGCTTTTTATTTTGGTATTTTCTAGTTTTGTTTTTTTTTTTTTTTTACAAACGGACACAAATGTGGCAGAGTTACTTTAACGGTAATGTGCAATATTTTTAGCTACCAATAATTCTGCTCAAATATTTCAAAACAAGAGCTATTTGTACACATTAAACACATTTTTTTACACTCCTACATGTTCCATTTTTGTTTGAATGTGCTGTAGTGAAGATACGAGACCGATTGAACGATTAGGGTAAGATGTCATTCCGATGGAAGAGGGAAAGCTCAACGTCTCTCTGGACTTTGCTGAGTCGGCACATTTGCACGCCTCGCCGCTACAGCAGATCTTGCAGKACAGGATCTCATTAGATCAAAGTGTCTTGATCAGCAGAGAAGTCAATAGAAATGTGGCTTCTGGGTTCTCACACGACACGCTGAGAAGATAGAACAAACAGGACATCTATTTCTGAGACTTACCAAATACTTAATGTCCAGAGTGCTTCGAATGATGACCTCTCATGTACTMCTCCTGACGAAGTAACGACTTGTTAGCTTCCATCAGGCACAAAACAACCTTAATGATTTGTCACTCTGTATAAAAATGTCCACACCTTTACTATAAAATATTAAAAGCCTAAGTTAGGGGGAATTGYAATGTGTACAATCRTCRGAAAAACTGTCAACAGTTAATATTTGGCACTTTGCAATTACTTTAATTRGTGTCATGTGATTATGATGAAGTATTCTTGTGTGACACACTATCACTGCCAAGCGTGCCTTTGAGCCCAGTGGTGGAAGATGGCGTGGAGCGGCTAATGCTTACCCTAACCCTATGAACTTGTTTAATAATCACCTGAAACTCTGACATAAACTGGAGTTCAAAGAAAGAYGGAAAGTTTTGACCAAAGCAATAATGTTGGCTACATTCAATTGCAATAGATCATTTCATAGTTACGAGTTCTCACAGAGCCTAGTTCTTTCAGGTAACGAGTCACCTGGTAAAACGCTGAGGTTCAGAAGTGTTTATCAGAATCAGAAGGGTCTATTGTCATTCACACAYAACATCAAGATGCAGTGCAGAACGAAATTGCAGTTTAGAATATCTGTCCGGAGAAACACACACACAYGTCAAACATGGGGGAACGAATGTCCTCGGTGCTTYGCAACTTAGTGCGCTAACTTTTGCAGCTTAGAATATACAGTACACACAAAAGGAAGTGTGAGTTTAAAAAAAGAGCTTTGATCCTGTGTTTTATACAGAAACACACAAAGGGGAGGTAAAATGGGGCAGGTTCAGAGGAGTAGGTGATGTTGAGGGAGGGGGGGTCCGTGCTAGGCCCAACCCTGGGCCCATCTAGAGTCCAGAGTCACATGATGTTATTGTCTCTACTCAGTTCACTAGAGTTCAGAGATTTTCCTCCTCCTCAGCCAATTGAGTTCCAAGGCCGGGTCCAACATGGGTGATGGGGGGTGGGAGTGAATCCAGCTCTTATGCTACGTTCACACCAAACGCATTGCGCGCCTCCAAAACACACGCATCTTGATGCTGGACAGACGCATTCACAGACCAGAACGAGAAGCAGCAGCGGGGTGTGGGAGGAGCATCTGCCCTCGGCGAGTGAAATAAAGATAAAAGAAAAGAAAATGGCTTTGATTTAATTACTAATGAGCAAGCAAACGTTGCGCACAGCAGATAATTGACTCACCAAATGATTTAGAGGCGATTTGTTTGGTTAGTTTCACCACTCCAGAAGCTGCCGGCTGACTGACCTTTTTTTTGTCCAGACCATCTGACCCACATTGGCACTTACCTATCCAGCTAGAAAATCCAACTGCAGATGGTCGATTTCAGGTAAAGATCTCCTGTTTGTCTGTTTCGGTTTAGTGGGCAACATTCAGGAAACTGTCACGTAGGAAAAATGAGTCTCTCGGATTGGTTGATGCGACGCATCGARCAGCAAAAGTTCAGMTTTTCCAACTCRCGYGGCGGACGCTTGGGACGTGCCGCGCGTGCACTGBTTMGAGCCGCGCTGCTCCAAATGCACCAGACTCGCTGCTCGGCTTCTAGACGCCACTAGATGCGCGTCCACCATTGACTTTGCATGTAAACCAGATGCTCCTGATGCTCAAAATGTGTTTGGTGTGAATGTACCATAAGTTGACATTCCATCCTGGGGAGGTTGAGATAAACACTGCCCTCAAGACTGTGCCGCTGGGAGCCAGATAGACAAACCAATACTTTTGGAACAAAGCAACCTTGAAATTCCTGCTGCTTTTGAAGTGTCTTAACTGCAACTCTGAGGTGGCGAAAAAATCTAATCAGCCGAATTTGGGGTCATTCCTCGCCTCTCACCATCTGAAGCTCACCCAAATGTGGTCCATCCATGCTGAAGGTTCGCTCCTGAGCTGTGATCCTCGTCAGAATCAAATCCAGTTTGCATATTTTTCTCCCAGCTGAGAGTCTGTGTGCTACCAGCCTGGCAGAATCCTTCAAGTGCGCCCAACAGCTCTTCAAAGGCCCGATCCACTGTCAAGGTCGCTTTCTCTTTTCGATAAATCTGGAGCCCTCCTCCACCGATCAGCAGGAATCCAGTTATCAAAATCCAACTACATATACAGTATATCTTCCATGTCTTCAATGGAAAGTGGTGCTGGCAGGCAGACAGGTTGCAATGAAAAGGCTGTTGGAATTGTACAAATTCAATAAGATTTATAGCTTAGATATTTATGAAAAATCTCATCTATGATCCTAAAGGAAAGTTGAACACAAAATAGGTTTAGAGCAAACACATCAGATCTGATAAATTGTAATTGTTTTTCTATTTCGATGGTGTTTCCGTAGCACAGCATTTTCGCTCATGTGCATTTGTAACGATTTTAACTACAAAATGGTCTATTGCCGTCCAATAATTATGATATTAATCGTTATCGGCTAAATGCCAATACCGCCCAGCGATACACATCTGACATATGGCAGCACGACGGCTCAGTGGTTAGCACCGATGCCTCACGGCAAGAAGGTCCTGGGTTCGATCCCAGGTGCTTGCGTGGGTTTTCTCTGGGTACTCCAGTTTCCCCCCACCCCTAAAAACATGCACAATAGGTTACCTTCAGGAACAGGCCTCACTCGAAAAAGAGGTCTGAGATCTCAACGGGACTTGCCTGGTTAAATAAATAAATAAATATCCAAAGCTTTTTGGGAGTGTCATTAAGACCCATCCAGTGGTTCATGAAATATTTTGTGAAAACACAAACGCATACGCTAACATCGACAAAAACATTATTGTCGACCTTCGCCTTTCAGTGGTGTGTGATAAATATGAGCAGGCTAAGTAATAAATAAAAACTGGTGTTGTGTGTGRGGGTTGGAGGGGGGGCTTCCTTTATCGACTAATTGCAGCTTTCCTCCTCCTGTTGTTGATTTATTCAAATGTTGCAGCGTTCAGCTCTTCGTTAATAATGGCTTCACTTCTCAGCGTTCACCTGCAACATAAACACACTTTGTTATCTGATATTGCCGGGGATTAATGCACATAAACATCCACAATGAGCTGCATGCTACACACACACACACACACACACACACACACACACACACACAAACAGCATTTCAGCCGTCTGTGCTCACAGCAATGCAGACATACAATTTCGGTGGCGAACGCTCCCTAACGAGCATAAAGAGCCCGGCTCAGACTAGCAGTTACATGCCTCATTAGGGTTTGTTTAAGTGTGCRAGACTGCGCCTGCACCGTGCGGCCGTGTGCTCAGCGCAACAAGCTGAGGCTCCAGCTGATGAAGGAGAGATGCTGCAGGATAATGAGCTCAGTGGATCTTTATGCTGCAAACGGGATCCAGGTCAAGCAGAGCAGCTGCTCTTTGAAAGTGTGTGTGTGTGTGTGTGTGTGTGTGTGTGTGTGTGTGTGTGTGTGTGTGTGTGTGTGTGTGTGTGTGTGTGTG